GGAGTTGCACAATCTCATGGTCTAAGGAAAAGATACTTGACATTAGAAAAGCTTTAGCATACGAACTACACGATCTTTGTGCTAGGCTTAGGATTGGGTCTTGTCCATCACATCATTCTGCTAATGATGTGATCCCATTATCAACGACATCCAATGTCCATGGTCAGGAAACTGTAACCATCTATTGATCAACGAGCTAGTCAACTAGAGGCTTACTAGGGACATGGTGTTGTCTATGTACCCACACATGTATCTGAGTTTCCTATCAATACAATTATAGCATGGATAATAAACGATTATCATGAACAAGGAAATATAATAATAACTAATTTATTATTGCCTCTAGGGCATATTTCCAACAGCTCTACGGCCTCCTCGTCAAATTCGAGCAAGAGTTTGCGCTTCGGGTAGCTCTTTGCGTGGTGACTATCGTCGTACTTATCTGCGGTCTTGAGTACTTTGGTCCATCTCATTCTGAGTACGTCTTCCGCCGTTTTGAGCTTTCTTTTTTGCTTCTTCAAACTCCTTGCAGTGGCGACGAGCCTTCTGTGAAGGTTCTTATGCTCCGGTGATGTGTCCGGCGTGATGTCGTCTGGACTATTGTTTTCGCCGGGAATGGGTTGCTCGTCCACTGGTTCGCCCTGCTCTATGGCTGGGTCAGTATGGGTGCCGTTGTTATCGAGGCGGGACTTCGGGAGGCGCTTGCGTTGCCGTTTTTGTTGTTTTTCGGGGGAATTATCCTTCGCCGCGTCCCGTTGTTCCTCGTCATCACTTCCTTTTGGTGTATCCACCATGTATACGTCGTGAGTTGAGGTGGCTTTCCAGTGCCCAGTAGGCGCTGATTCTTGGTCGTCTCCGGCATCGTCGTCCATACCGTCGATGTCTTCAGAGTCGGAGTCTAGCATGTCGGTTAAATCGTCGACAGTGGCTACTAAGTGGGTGGTGGGTGGGCTTCGAGTTTCGTCGTCCACATCCCAACCATCCCGACCGTAGTCCGGCCGGGGCTCTCCTGATAACGAGAGATGCTTCAGCGAACTCAGGACGTCGCCAAAAGATGGGTGTTGAAAGATGTCCGCGGCGGTGAACTCCATGATCGACGCCCAATAGGATTTGATTGAAGGGAGGGCGGGAGGTTCGGAGTCCGGCAAGGAGTCCGGCGCCTTGGAGTCACGAGCTTCAGAAGGGACAAAGTCAATATTCGGCTCTATCGTCGTAGAGGTTGCAGCCCCCGAGGCGGTGTCTAACCACCCGTCCTCGATCTGCACATCCGGCCCCAAATCGAAGGTCAGAGCGGACTCGTGTGCGGCCTCCAGGGCACAGTCCGGCAGCAGAGCTAAATCATGCCCATCGTGACAGTGCGGCACGCTCGGCTGTGGCTCGAATCCATTGAAGATCAAGTCTCCGCGGATGTCAGCCGTGAAGTTCAGACTTCCAAATCTGACCTGACGGCCAGGGGCGTAGCTTTCGATCTTCTCCAGATGGCCAACCGAATTGGCCCGCAGTGCAAAGCCGCCGAATACGAAGATCTGTCCGGGGAGAAAAGTCTCACCCTGGACCGCGTCGTTGTTGATGATCGAAGGAGCCATCGAGCCTATCGGTGACGACACAGAGGAACTCTCAATGAAAGCACCATTGTCGGTGTCAAAACCGGCGGATCTCGGGTAGGGGGTCCCGAACTGTGCGTCTAGGCGGATGGTAACAGGAGACAAGGGACGCGATGTTTTACCCAGGTTCGGGCCCTCTTGATGGAGGTAAAACCCTACGTCCTGCTTGATTGATATTGATGATGTGGATGTTACAAGAGTAGATCTACCACGAGATCAAGGAGGCTAAACCCTAGAAGCTAGCCTATGGTATGATTGTTGTTATTGTTGTCGTCCTACGGACTAAAACCATCCGGTTTATATAGACACCGGAGAGGGCTAGGGTTACACAGAGTCGGTTGCAATGGTAGGAGATCTACATATCCGTATCCCCAAGCTTGCCTTCCACGCCAAGGGAAGTCCCATCCGGACACGGGACGAAGTGTTCAATCTTGTATCTTCATAGTCTTGGAGTCCGGCCGATGATGATAGTTCGGCTGTCCGGACACCCCCTAGTCCAGGACTCCCTCATCGTTGCTTCTACAAACTCCAACGTTTCAACAGGGTTGTTCTGGTAAGACGTGGGCCCATAGGTGGCAATGAGCTTTGCTCATAGTGTACCTCAGAGGGATGCAGGAGGAAGGTGGTGCTATTTTCTTCAAGGATTTGACTTTAGTTTCTTATTTTTGTATCAGAGTCCTTGTAAGGGTTGGTTCTATGTAATATATATGGCTTTGTGCCTTTCCAAAAGGAAAAAACCTTGACCCTATACGTCACTCAGGTCCACCCGAGACATATTGGGATCTCAAGTTTAGCCATAAATTCAAATGTAGTTTTTACCCCAAATTTGCACATCAAAAAATATTCATCACAATTCAAAGAAAATATTTAAATTTTAAAATTATGCATGCAAATTAATGTTAATCAATCTGAAGTTCTTTACTCAAGACAGTTTAATCCTTGTTTGGCACCCCCCCCCTCCCCCTCGTTTCATATAATTTCCTTCAGTAGAAATGAAATCGAATCAAAATTTTGGTACCCCCATTTCGTTTCATTTGGTTGAATTAAAATTCTAGTGATGTCATGTGTCTTTGTACATGCCCTTAGATTAATGGCATCTCCAACATTGACCCACAAATTTTCTCCCGTACCCGTCCACGGACAGGGGGGCAGTCCATGGACACGAATGCGGAAGTCGGCCATCTAAAGCTATCTGCATACATCTGGCCCAAAAAAAGTTAAGCCCACATGCTCAAATAGCTGCATATATAGCTAGAATAGTTCAAATGTTCGAATGGAGCAGTAGTTCTAATTTAAATAAGTTTAAGTATTACAATCCAACATTGTTAGCCCCTTTGACCGCCCACAGATGCTCAATCAGGTCTTTCTTCAGTTGTTCGTGAGTTGCTCAATGCCAAATTTGTTGATGCATTTGAACAAACTCTTCAAATGTGGCTGGATTCTGGTCTGAAAGTTTGCTAGGATCACTCATGTTCTCAAATTCAAAACCTGCAGCAGCATCGTCACCCTCGTCCTCCCGATCATGTTGTGCATGATCACACAACAGGTCATCACCTCCCACAAGGTCTATATATCCCATTGTTTAGCAGGTCCATGAACAACTACAAAACATGCCTACGGAACTTCAAATACCCTCTCAACATTCTTTCTAGCTGCTTCTTGTCTCTGGGCAAAATAAGACTTTTTCTGGCCAACTGGATTAGAGAAGGTGTTCACAAAGGCAGCCCATGGAGGATAGATACTATCAACCAGATAGTAGCACATGTTGTACTCGTGTCCATTGATAGTATAGTGGCAAGGAAGAGCTTTTCCTTCAGTCAGCCTAGCAAACAATGGGGTCGCTGCAACACATTGATGTCATTGTGAGACTCAGGCATGTCAAAGAAAACGTGTCAAATTCAAAGATCATGTGATGCAACTACTTCAAGAATGATGGTGGGCTTCTTAACATGACCCTGATATTGCCCTTGTATAGCTTTTGGGAAGTTCTTCCATTTTCAATGCATGCAGTCAAGAGATCCAAGCAAACCTGGCCACCCTCTTACTTCTGAGATTGCCAAGAGCCTCTCGGTGTCTGTGATAGTTGGTTCTCTCAGGTATTGAGGTCCAAACACCTAGACCCCGGCAGTTGCAAACATGACCATGGCATCTCCGCATGTGCTCTCAGACATCCGTAGGTACTTGTCCCACGAATCAGCGGTCATGCCATATGCAAGCATCCGCAATGTGTTCGTGCACTTCTGGTAAGCAGAGAACCCAATCCTTCCCACGGCGTCAAAGGATTGGACGTCATGGTAGGGACGATCAAACACATCTTTGTGCATCCGGAAGCACCGGCGAAAATTATCAGCGAAGAGGGCATCTGGGTAAAGTAGTCGTCCATCAACGTCAAATGGGCGCGCTCTCTGTTGCGGTTGACTGCACTCGATGACCCTTGATTGATCCCCTGAAATTGAGAACATGCTCTTCCGCATGCTTTGTGTCTGCAAGGACCGTCTGTATCATCGTCGTCTCATCCGTGCAGCCCTCCTCATTGGACGACTCAGCATAGTGCTCGTATATGTACTCTGAATTCATTTCTTAAAAGAAGAAGGGACAAAAAAATTGCACGGGCATTTCACCGAAAAGTTGTCGGGCATGGTGAGTATGTAGGAGCAGATGGTACCTGTGCGGCGGTAGAAGGAGAGGTGTGGAACGGCGATGGAGGAAAAGCGGCGTGGAGCCCGTGGTGTACCATTGGAGGTGATGGACCCGTCGAGTTCCGGCAGGGGTGTGGCGGGGGCGGCGGGGATGGTGAAGCAGCGGCAATGGCAAGAGAAAAATAGAAGGAGAGAAAATGAGAGGATGGAGTCGCGGGGTCCGGAGGGGTTTTGATGGGTTTTGGGTAGGCTGGGGGTGTCGAAGTTCGACGTGGCTGTTGTCGGGGCTCCCGCAAAGCCCTCCTAGTTTGTCTCGGGTTCACGGGAAAAACTGCATTCGAACTGGTCGGCGGGCCGATACAAGCCCGTGTTGGATGGCTAAACACGTCCATATCCGGACAGTTGCAGATCGCTTTGGAGATGCCCTAAGGTACCATCATTAGTATTCCAAAAAAAACAAAGGAGGGCGACCCCTGCCTTCAAAAGCGGTGAGAGGTGCCCCAAAATAAAATTCTCTTGGTAAAGCTAGAAAGCAACCTAGGAAAAGCGACGTTTGGAGTGCATCGAGTCTCAAGTCAGTTGCACATGGGGAACAAGTGTGCGGCAATAATACACGCGACATGCACACTACCATTTCCCTCAACTCGACCCCTTCGTTGCCGCGTCCGACGCTATATATAACTCCACGTCCTTCCCGCCATTAGGCACCGCAATGATCAACACGGCACAAAGAAAAACTTCGTGCAACAGCTCATAAATGGATCGCCAGAGCTTGCGAGTCGGTGGCGCCGGCGACGCGCAGGAGTTCTGCTACGTCGGGAGCCGGCAGCTCGAGGTCGCCGGCGGGGCGTTCCTGATGGAACTGCTGGAGGACACGCCGGCGCCCGCCGACCAGGCACCGGAGGCCGCCGACGACCGGCTGAGGCGCGTCATGCGGTCCCTCGAGGCCGAGCTCGGCGTCGCGGCGGTGCCGGCACCCTCTGCGGCGGAGGACGGCGGGAGCACGGCGGACGGGCCGATGAGCGACTACGACGACGGGGAGCTGGAGGAGATGCTGTCGGAGTTGGGCGGTAGCCTGGGGGCCGAGGCGCCGTCGTTGGCCGCCGTGCTGCCGTTCGAGTACTGGGAGGAGGTGCCGCCGGTGATGGGCAGCGGCATGGGCGGCTGGTACGTCGACGGCGAGGGCTTCGTGGCAGGGTACCAGTTCAGGGAATCATCCTACTACACCTATGGTGAGGTCTCCGCCGTTGAGCAGGTGTACAGTCCCCCCCTGTGCCTGTGGGAGTGAGCGTTGAAATATGCGCGTGCGAAAAAGAGGTTGTGAGCTGAAACTTATGAAAGACAAATTGAGCTGTGCATTTGTTCTTATATTTTTGGGAATTATCTGGTGACCGTTGGCTAGGAGGGAGTGGCATTCATAAATGTTTTGATGGTATTTTTAGTTGTCTTACGGTGGCAGATTATTCAGAACTGCATGACATTTCTGGGCAGAGACAGGAAAATATCATGCAGTTCTAAAAAAACTGTCACCTCTAACACAGCCAAAACTGCGAGGAAAACGTTTGTAAATGCCAACCCTTACAGCAAACGTTTGTCGGTTAGCTTTTCTGTTTGGAAAACAAATACATGTAAAACATGTCAAAGATCAGAATTGTTGTAGGAAATATAGGGCGCGTTCGGCAGTCCACCAACTACTTCAAATTCTAGAATCTGCGGAGCAGCTGTTTGCTGGGTCCAAGGATTTTAACTACCGCTCCGGGAGCAGAACGCAGCCATAGACTTATGCTTGTCAGATCCGCTGATATACAACAGCAGAAGAGGGCAAAATTGTAAGACTCGGCTGAGGGCTGCTAATTAAGAATATCATGGAACTGCGATTTCATAGGCGACAGTTTGATTCCTGCATCTGGAAAATCTAGTGTTTCAAAGAATAATAAAATCTCGTGTTTCAATGTATTGGGGTACATAGAGGAACAAGCGATATACAATACAAGTGTGTGGCTGTCATGAAGTAAGAGATAAATGGACAAACGGTCACAGAGTAATGAGAACGAGTAATCGAATCCACTAGTAGACGGGAAGCCGGGAAGGGGTAAGCAGGCGGACCTAGAACCAACTGAGCACAACGTAATCTAGTGTTGGATCAGTAATCAGTTTCAAGATATATGCTTCATCTTTTAAGAATGCGAATAATGTGAAGCGAAGATTATTGCAGCTTAGCTATTGGCACATCAGAGATTTTTCACCACTAGCCAAATAGCAATACTTCTAAGTTCAAACTGAGCACAACACTGAGACTACTGTAAGATTTACCAAACAGGTTTGACTACCTGTGTTGGAACATAGGTTGGATCGTTTGAGATGCAACTGTCAGGTACTCCATGAATCAATAGGTTCAAGCTGTCACAAGAACGAACCTCGATTTCATGTGAGAGAAGCAAGAAATTATATACCTGCAACATCCAGAAGGAGAAGAGCAAACATTGACAACTAGAACCAAGAGAATGCCTAATTACACTCCGTTAGCTTCCAATATTCAAGCAAAATAAGGTATAAATCAACTACCAAGCACGCAAAGTTGGATGCAAAAGTAAGAGACTATGTGAACTGTTCTACACATATAAGATTAACCTGGCACCACCCAGTATTTTACTCCATGCAGGAACTCAACCAAAGGGCATCTAAATAAAGCAAGCACTAGTAATGGTCACTAGAACACCCTTGGATGACAAAACATTTGATTTACAGCTGGAATTATGCCTTCTTCGCTACAGTCTACAATGCACGACGAGCTAGCCACAGTTGCCAATGCCATGTCTCGCTGTTGACGTCAAACATCCAATGCACACATCCAAGAGACCTCTCCATCTTCACATTAGAACCTGCCATAAAGATCCCAGTTTTCAGTACACAGACATATTATATACCGTAACATAATAAACAAGCAAGTACAAATCATGTTCTGATAACAAGCCAAAACCATAATCAACATGGATATTCACGATCTGAATGATCCTAGGCTAACTATCATACATGAAATGGAGCCCCACAAGGCCACTTGATAAATCCTGCCTTCTTAGTTGTGCTTGTGTGTGTGTGTGTGTGTGTATGTGTGTGTGTGTGTTATATGTCAAATTTGATATTTCACCCTGAGTGATGCCAAGTTGTGTGCAAGAATAATGGCAAGTACTCCCTCCGTAAACAAATATAAGAGCGTTTAGATTATTAAAATAGTGATCTAAACGCTCTTATATTTGTACCACCAAATAAATTAAGGTGAGCTAAGTGGGTTATTTCATTATTGATCCTATTAGTTTCACTAACTATTTTAGTAGTTTGTTAATTAAGTGATGCCAACAGTAGCTTAGCATTCTACTGGCCCAAAGATAACCCAACCATACAGAAAGTTTGAATACATAAAATAAACAAGAATTTCCAAACCATAGAAAACAGGACAGTCTACTAACCACCATTTGGATTCCTACATAATACAAGAAACTAGTTTATCTCCTAACCACTGAATTTAATCACAGTACACGAACATAAGAAAGTAGGTCATGTACCTCTTAACTATCAGAGAAATCATTCTTCCCTAGCAAGGGCTGCAAGCTTTGCTTTTCTTTTTTCCTTGAGAAGATCAAGCTCCCGAGCCAGCCCTTCAGTTTTCCTCCACAAAAGGTTGATGCGATGTTCCCAATCATCAGGCTTTGAAAACCATTCAAGCTTGAAACGTTCAATCATCTCATTTACTGCAAGTTTCTGCTGCTCTTCCTCCCACCGTTTCTGCTGCTCTTCCTCCCACCGTTTCCTCTCCAACTCCCTGACGCTAAGGACAAGACCGCCACCATTAGGAACATCATGATAACGGAACTTGTTAGAAGGGAACTTCTTCCTGTACTCATTGAAAGAAGCATGACTCTGTTTCAAAGCCCTCTTATACCCACTGACCAACTGACCCATCACATTCAGATCATGCTCAAAGCACCTAAGCTTTGCTTGCAACTTATTCTCTTGCTCAAACCTGGCTGAGTTTAGTGAGTGGATAAGTGCTTCCTTCTCCTGCAGCAAGTTGGCCATAAATTGCTTCTGTGACAGCGCCTCTTGAATCTCTCTGTCTTTCTGTTCATATAACATGCTGGCATTGACCAATAAGTTCTGTATGGGTTCTGAATAGTTTGCATTGAAGAATGCTGATCCAGGTGGTACACTACTGCTGGAGTTCCGCATCCGCTTATGTTGATTGCCCTGCAGAAACTGCTGTTGTGTTTGCATCTGGTCATCGTACCCATCATCAATATCCTCAACATGCCTCTTCCCATTATTATTGCCAAAGAAAAATGAATTGCCGGCCCCCAGGTCCACTCCATTCTTATGTGCATCAGCCCCCATAGCCAAGAAATTTCCAGAGGACAGGTCATGTGCATTCTCCGTGCCATTATATGCCGCAGGATCTGAGTTCATAGCCTGGAGGAGGTTTGACTCCATCCCATGCAAGGAGCCCATTTTGAATCCATCATCAAAGCTCACACCATCCCTCATCCCAACATTCCCTTTATTCAAATTCTCAAACTCCACCCCTGGAAAGTCACATTGCTGTAAACAATGTGTCGTCCCCTCGCCCCCCTTCTCATCCCCAATACCCCAGTTCATCTCCACTCCACCGCTACACCCCTCAAATGCATCACGCTCTGACTCCTCCACCTCCTCATTATCACTATCCAGATTTTGGACAGATACATGATCTTCGACATCCATACTGTCATCGTCATCATTGGCAGAGCTCCACCCTGCCTCATCCTTCTCTTCTTCCTCTTCTGCCTCCTCATCCTCCTCTGGCACTACTAGCACTTTCTCCTGTGTCACCAGTTCCACATCCGGCGATGGGCATGCATCCTTCTCTGCTGCACCCACAATTGTGTCTTCATCTTCCTCCCATGCAAAGTCTGCCAAAACCTCACCATTCACAGTATTTATTTCATGTGTACGAGCTACAGCTTCCTCCAGCACCATGGCATCCCCTGCCTTTGATTGATCCAAGCTCATGCCCTTTACATCCTCATCCGCCACCTTCGATGTCTCCAATCTCTCCACATCCCCCAACTGCAATTCATCATCCTCATCAGCAACATTTGGTGGCTCCAGTCTATTGCTGCTTGCATTACCATCCACACACCCCAACAGCAGTTTGAAGTCCCCATCCACCACATTGGGTGTCTCCAGTTTGTTGCTGCTTGCATTAGCATCCACGTCCACCTTTACATCCTCATCCACCAACTTTGATGTATCTGGTGACTTGTTCCTTGCATTAGCATCTGCATCCCCTGACTCCAATTCGACATCCAAGCTCATGACCTTTGCATCCTCATTCACCACCTTCAATGTATCCGGCGAATTATTGCTTGCATTAGGATCCATAGCCCGCGACTCCAGTTCGACATCCAAGCCCTTTGCATCCTCATCCATAACCTTCAATGAATCCGGTGACTTGCTCCCTGCATTAGGATCTGCATCCACCGACTCCATCTCAACATCCAAGCCCTTTGCATCCTCATCCATCACCTTCAATGTATCCAGTGACTTGCTCCCTGCATTAGCACCAACATCCCCTGACTCCATCTCAACATCCAAGCCCTTAGCATCCTCATCCATCACAATAGATGTATCCAGTGACTTGCTCCCTGCATTAGCATCCGCATCCCCGGACTCCATCTCGACATCCAAGTTCATGCCCTTTGCATCCCCATCCGCCACCACTGATGTATCCAGTGACTTGCTCAATGCATTAGCATCCACATCCGCCAATTCATCCATGCTCTTGCTCCCTGCATCCCCAGAATCTGACTTCTTTAAGTCATTGTTCCTCAAATCCGAACCTTCTGTCTCTGGTTCCTCCAAGATGTTGCTCCTCGCATTCCCAGACTCATTCAAGTCATTGCTCTTCAAATCCACAGCTGCTGTCTCTGATTCCTCAAAGATCTTGGTCGCATCCCCAGACTCATTCAAGTCATTGCTCCTCAAATCCACACCTGCTGTCTCTGATTCCTCCAAGATGTTGCTCCTCGCATCCCCAGACTCCAACTCCTTCAAGTCATGACCACTAGCATCAGCATCTGCAGGTCCCGATTCATCCAAGCTCTTGCTGGTCAGACTCACACCCTCTAACTCTGATTCCTTCGGGCTCTTGCTGCTCGCATCCGTATCTGCATCTATAGGCTCCAACTCCTGCAAGCCCTTGTTCCTGGCATCTGCATCCCCACCACGCTCGTCCTTAACTAAATCAAAAGACACCTTCTGAACAAGCTTCCCTGCCTCCTCTTTCTGCGGCAGGTCAAACAGCAGCGGCTTCTGCACCCGGATGAGCCGCTGAAGATACGCCCCGTATTGGCACACCCCATCATCCCTCCCGGGCAGCTCGTGAATCTCCTTCTCGATGATACCCCAGATGATGGCGGCCCAGTTAACCTTATGCGGTGACCCATCCTTCACAGTCTGTTCCGCGGCGGCCACCTCATGCGGCAGTGTGCAATCCGTGAACCAGGGATGGATGCAGACGCGCATGAACTCCAGGGCGGCGGAGACCAAGGCCGCGGTTTTGAACCCTCGGGGCGGGACGGGCGGCCCGACAGTCTTTTTGGGGAGGGAGAAGGCGATGGCCAATTCTGAGCGGTTGAGACTGATGCGGGTGTCCCAGACGAAGCTGCGTTGATTAATCCGGTCGTAATAGGCGATGAGTTGCGCGACGAGGTCGGGGCGCGGGGGCTCAGATCCGGGGTCAAACCGCGCGAAGTCGAGGAGGCCGAGGGCGCGGAGGGCGGCCTCGTGGTTGGAGATGGAGGGCGGCGGGGCGTCCAGCGGGCGGAGGCGGAGGTCGACCGGGATGCGCGCGAGGCGCTCCTCCGCGGCGGCGCGGAGCTTCTCGGTGAAGGGCTTCTTGAGCTTGCTGGCGGTGGCGGATCTCCGGGGCGGCCCGTCCAGATCGGGTCTGGCGGCGGCGGCGGCGGCG